CATTTTTTTGCAGGTAAGAAAATGTGCATTTATTATTTCTGTTACAGGAGCCTGTAAACCATTGCACCAGCGATCAGCAGATTGCTGGTGCCATGCAAATCTCCTGTAGGCCTGTCATTGTGTCTGCTTTCCTGTACAGGATGTACAGGTAAACCGATATAATGATAGGAAGCAGCAATGAACTGCCAGGCGCCAGCCGCTAAGGCTGTCAGGACTTGTAGTTTCTCATTCACAGAGGACTGAATGAGTGATGCGGCCGGCAGGCCAGTTGGGACGCATTTTTAAAAAATGTTCACAGCTAGCGGGTGGAGAAGATCCCCTGCTAGCTGTCAAAGCAGTGGGGGGAGCAGGAGCTGTTTTTTTCATAACCTGTTACTTGTTTCATCTTGAATGTCTGTGTAACATGTTCTCAAAGGTTAACTTATCCTTTTTAAAGCTTAGGTTTAGCCTGAATTGCAAACCTAAAAATCAGCACAAGAGATATAATTTAGTATGATGAATCCCTTGTCCTTGGTTTAGAAATTTTTTAGTCTTTTTTTACCCCCAAAGTCTTTCAGTGTGACGGGGGTTAATACAAGTGAGGGGCTGTCAGGAGCTTGACTATGCCCACCCTTTCCTTCCAGATCCACCCTTTCTTAGAAGCCATACTACAACTTCAATGAATGACACAGCATCCCTGAATGGAAGGGGCAGTGCTATCAATCAGCTGCCCATCCCCCATTCAGATATGCTATGGCATTCATAGATGCTGTAGTACAGCACCTATGAATGGCAGAGCAGGCATAGTTGAGCTGTCCTGACAAGCGCTCCATTTCACTAACCCTGTAGCAGCAGAAGATTGCAGGGGCAGAGGTATGAAACACAAAATTTTCTGCTAAATAAAAAAGAATCAGCACAAGGAACACATCATACTACATGTAAGTTAAGTCCCTTGCGCTTTTTTTTTTTTTTTTTTTTTTCGTTATTTGGGGTAAACTTTGGCTTTAAATAAGGCCTGTGGCCCTACCACAAAAAATATATAAAACAAATGTTCATGACAGACAAAAAAGCTCTACTTCTGGATTAAAGAAGTAGTATGGGCAAAGCTAATTTGGCTATACTTCTCCTATGGATCACAGACCCATTTTCAGCCAACAACAGGCTAAAGCTCTCTGTTTGCTGAATTCACAGAGCTGGTCCTGACTCTGAAAAGATCCCGACAATATGCCCAGAAACCTGACCGGCAGCAGGCTTGGTTTCTCAGGTACGCCGCTGGGAGACTGAGCCAGCTTCCTCCTAGCCTTGCACTCCAGTGAGTGCTGGAAGGGCAGAGCAGAGAATGGTAATTGACAGTCACCGCACTCTGCTCAGAGTGGAGGGGATTGACCTTTGATCACTTAGTTCTCAGTGCAGACCCTACAGGGCACAGATGCAGCATCAGATCAATACTGCATTCAGCTAGGTGAGTAAAAAAACTCCAGGGATTTATAAACTCCATACTTCTTTTAAAGTTATATGTAGCACTCGCACATTACAATAATTACAATTTTACCTGAACAGAAACCACAAAAGGTAGTTATAAATTTGTTCAAATTATTACAAGAAAATCCATCCTTCGACTTTTTGCTTTTTCTTGCCACTTCCATTGAAATAGATTGTAGAAATTTGTTCATTAACTATTAGAAAATCGAAAACAGTTTTTGAACAGAATACTAACAATGCATGGCTAACCTTGGTATACAGATTTCATTAAACAGTTGTCAGTAGATATCTCAATACAGCTGATAAGCGAACAGAATAATCTTTTAAACAAGCTCGCACTCGCCTCTCTAGCTGCTTGTACTGTGAAGTAATTCATCTGCAAAAAATCCCAAAAGAAGACAACAAATACTGAGGTTGGGTTTCAGTAAGCTTCAGTAAGTAAAAATTATCCTTTACAGTGGAGTAAGTGAGTGAGTGTAAGACTTTGCGTTGCTATAAGGCAGCCTATTGATTTGAGTGGGCTTTCCAATACAACACAACAGACCAAAGATCAGGCAAGCAGTATTTTTGGCAGTGCCATATGTTGTGCTGCAATAGATGTAAACTTGGAAGGTGCATTGGGGTGCCATTCAGAATGAACTAAATAGAATGAATAGCACTACATCACATCAGTGCACCATACCACCATGATTTTGAGGGACTGTCCCTCATATGGAACAAAGTCCCTCTGTTTTGCTTCCCTCCTCATTTGTCCCTCGTTTTAGTCTGATGTATATACCTGTATTAAAAATGCGCTATTTATCAAAAAGTGTTTACAGTGTTAAACACTTCATCCTATTTCTATATTGTTGCATTTGTACATTTAAAAAAATGCAATAATTTTTTGCATATTAATTTTCCTTGTAAGGGACGTGTCCTATTAATACATTTTGCTTTTAGGTGTCCCTCATTCCCACCTCCGAAAGTTGGAAGGTATGACTACCACACTGCAGTGGTATGAACGGGTTCTAACATGTAACTACACCTTTTTAGCTTGCTGTGTTCCTAGCTTCCCTGCCTCCTCAGTCCAGTGAGATATCTAGGAGACCACAGAGCTGCTTGTTGAATTCTTCTGAGCTGGGTCTGCACATGTGCAGTATACTCTATTCAATCTTATGGAGTGCAACCTTTTAATAGGATTGAATGATAAATGTGCAGCTCAACTTTCTGGACCTCTTCTGTAATGCCTAGTACACATGATGCGAAAATCGGACAAATTATGTCCAGTTTTTTTTTTTTTTTTTTTTGCTATTTACATGCTAGTCTCCTTGAAAACGAATAGGTTACTAAAGTTAAGAAAATTCTTGTAAGACAGAATACAACTTCAGACGTGATGTAATATTGTGCATTTCATTTCTGAGCATGCACAGTGTTGGTCAGTCGATTTTTTTTTTTTTTTTTTTTTTTTTTTTTTTTTTTTTAAATTGTACCAATATTCTGTGAATTAAATGAAAATCTTTTGTTATGTTACAAGAAAAATTTCCATGCTTGTCCCTTCAGATATTTCTACATACGAACTATTGTGACCAACTCTTGAAAGCTGTGTACAAACGATCAGATTATCGGACAATCACGTTTGAATGTGTTTTTTTTAATCTTATTGTGTGTACTAGGCTTAAGCAACACACATTCCCCTCTCTATCTTTTATCAGTTATGTTGTTCTTTGTTTCTTCCTGCCATCAGTTTCACTCTTTTCTTATTTCTTTACACCTTTCATTTTATGAACATGATTTTTCTTTTTGTTTGTAGATTACAGGTAGTTTTACTTTGTAGGCCTTAGCTTTGAGGTAACAAGTTTATTGCATACTATAAAGCAGACCTTTGTGGCGGATTCATTTTAAGAGGATTACAGAACAAACTGCAAATTATAAATGTTTATTATTATCCTTAGACTAATTTGTCATGTAATCTCATTAAAGCTGATCACACTAATAAAGTGGCATCTGCTCTACAAGTGTCCCAGCCTGCCATATATATACTTCAGTGGTTCCACTTGGTCCATGTAGTAGAAGAATCCTATCACCATGTCACCAACACATGGTTTCTGTCACTGCATAGGTTCACCATCCTGTATGAACATTAGATGAAGATGAGTTCACATATTCTAGATAGAGGTGGGACACACTTCTGAAAGGTAGTAGGCACATCATTGATCTTTTTTTGGCTGGGAAAGCAGAATTATTTCTGCATTAAGTTTTTTCTTTAACCCCTTGGCGCCGACACCTCCTGGCCCTTTAAGGGTCTCAGAAACCGGTAGGCGGGGCGGGGTCTAGGGTCATGTGACCGCTGCGACACGCCGTCAGTGGTCACATGATTGGGAAAGGTCCCCATCGAAAGAGGAAATCGGGGCCTTTCCGTGAGTACCGGACATGCGTGCTGGGAGCGCGCAGTGCGCACGCTGTCAGCAGATATGTTTTTTTTAATTGCACGCAAATGTGTGGCCGCTCGGTGTCAAGGCCCAGATGCCGGGAATCCGAACATTTGCGTGAGGCCGGCACCAAGAGGTTAAAGTGGTTGTAAACCTCAGACATGAAATCTGAACAAAGCATATCCCTTTATAGTGTGTACTTGTCTCAATTAAGAGTGCTAAGTGTAATTTCTTTCCTCTCTTTCTGTCCTCTGCTATCATCGTGTCACTTTTGACACTTTCCTGACACCAAAAGAAAAATGGTGACGGGGAAGAACCTCCAGCAGACTGACAGCTTCAGCTCTGTTTCTGTGTTCTGTGTGGAGAGTGGTGTGTCTTTTGCCTCTAGTTAGCTCTCAGAACTCTCACTGAGCTCTGCAGAGTGTAACTTCAGCAAGCCCACCGTTTTCTGAACTCTCAGAAAAGCTTTATAAATGCAGCACTTTGAACAGCTGTAGAAAAGAGATGCTGATAAACAGGTACAACTTGTGTGGGAGGATTTGTTTTATCTCTGTGTGTCACCTGAGGCCAGTCACTTTACTGGGTATATGTAAGGGAAAGCGAAAGCGGAAAAAACCAGCAAAACATCTAAATACAAAGTTGAGATAAACATATGTGAACTGTTTTTCCTGCCAAACAATTTTTAATGCTGCTCTGCCTTTATTTCAGGTCAGTGACCTCATTTTTTAACCTGTTAATAGATAACTTGTTACAGGGGACCATAATAATGTTGCAGGGGGGGCGATGACAAAGTGACATGATCTGTGTACAGCACAACTCGAGCCACTTTATAATTATTTCCCCAGCAGCATACTTCTACTGTTCCTTCCTTTATCACAGTGGTATTGGTGGCCACAAAAGACCAAGTGGCGGAGAGCTTTGAAGAGGTGTGAGTATAAAGTGGTTGGGTGGTGGGCTTTACATAGACACTGTCACTTTATACTGAATAGCCAAGGTGACAATGTCTCTTTAGAAGGAAGCTGTTGCTTTATCAGTTTTTGTACAGTGGAAAGTAAATCACATTACTATGTATCTATATTATTAGTGTATGTGTTTGTTTTGACACACCTGTAACTTTTCTTGTCTTTTACAGGTCCATTTCCCAGATATTGAAAGGGCAGAATGGCTAAACAAGGTACGGTGTCTCTAGTTTCAGTAGCACTCACAAGTTAAGCACTGTACACAAGACACTGAGACATCATAACTGCAGCACATGAATAGATAGCTTTTGAGACCTGAAAACCAGTTTAGTCACATCAAACAACAATGCAATAACTAAAATATGTGTTTACTAGAAATACTTTTCTCTTGAAAGTCTTATCTCTGGTTTCTTGCAGCATATGGTGATGCAAATATTTATATGTGTAGTTTGCACAGGAATAAGATCATCCAGATAAATAACATATTCCCATTATTATTATTATACATAATTTATATAGCGCCAACAGTTTGCTCAGCACTTTACAATATAACGGGAGACAATACAGCAACAATACAGATCAATACAAGAGGGTTAGGAGGACCCTGCTCTTTGGAGATTACAATCTAGGAGATGCAGTACATTCAGACTTCCCTGTCTCTGATTTATTGGCAGAATCATTAACTCATAATCTTCATAAGGCTCCTTTCACATGAACATGTTGGTGTGGTATATCCAGGCAGTTGTGGGGCGTTTTTACTACGCCTCGACCACCTGTCAAAACCTGGCAATGGCTGCAGGACAGCCATATCTACATTGTTGGTGCTGTGAAGTTGTTCTTCGCAGCTTTGAAAAAAAAAAAAAAAAAGTAGGACATGGAAGTGAATGAGGATGCAATGCAGCCACAACCAGTGGTCACGATTGCGGTGCACTGAAGTGCTGGTCAGTTCCTGCTGACATATTGATCCACTTTGGATTTGAGACTCAACAGCTAAGTGAAAGGGGCCAAGGTCAAATACCTTTAATACTTCTCCAAGGTGCATGTATTCCATTTCTGATGTACCTTAAAAGTTATATGGTCCTCAATAGGGTGGCTTTAGTTCTCCTCAACCTTGGGCTTGAGACAGATATCCAGAATTCACTTTCAAGTATAATCCCGAAATACTGACCGTTAGGTTTGCTTTTTCGCTCCGAAGATTAGAACAACTCACAATGCACTGCTTAAAGTGGAAGCAAACCCACTTTGGCAACTTTTACCTATAGGTAAGCCTTTAATAATGCTGACCTGTAGGTACTGTATATATCCTAAACGTGCAGCGTTAGGAGATACTTATTGTAGAAGCGCTGGTGATATCACCGGCTCATGCACACTGCGCTCTCAATGGATGGCGTGCCGTGCTGCAGCCAAAACTCCCTTCATGCATGCGCTGTGACATCTTTTGAAGACAGGGTAAAGATGGAAGCCTTGGGAAGCTCATTTATTCTGGGAAACTGTGAGAGAATGATGCGGCTGTGAAGGCAGAGCCCTGTACGACTGCGCTCTTTAAAAAGGTGACAGCAGGTGTGGGGAGAAGAACCCCGTCCGCTGTCATGGGGGTAAAGGTGTCAAGAGCTACAACATGTTCAATGTTCTTCCCCCAAATACGGGTGGAATATGTAACATTCCAAAAGTGAACTTTTGCCTCTGGTTAACGGAGTCACAACAGAAATTAGTTTTGAAGAATTAGATAACCCAGCCTCTTCAGTAAAAGAGGGCAGGCTAAAAGCAGCCAAATTGTCAGAGTATGTAGAAGCTTTTATGGAGAGCCGACAATTTTGTGTAGGGAGAGATACTGTGAATTCCAGCAGTGGGCTACATATCCTTTGGTACCCTGTTGTATAATACCATGTACAGCTTGTATTCATGCCACAAGCCTGTAATTTGAAGCATTTGTTTATTTTCAATGTCGTCCTCAAAGCTGGATGAAAAGACTTTCTGCCCTCTGTATGGTATTTAGGAAAAAAAAGTTAGCATTGTTTAAAAATAGCTTGTTTATAATCTCTACAAATTGCCCAAATGGAATAACAAGATGGCTATCCATAGACTTCAGAGGGGTTTGTTCCTACATTTTGGGTTTGCTGAATTTTGAGCAAGATTAATGAAACCGCTCATGAATTGAACCAAGGCCAGTTCAATCACCCCTAGTCCTCAGTTGTTATGAAGGTTTTTTTTACTCAGGGTGAATGCAAAAAAAAAAAAAGAAAAAGATAACTGTTTCGGAATTTTGCGTCTGTATACAAATATATATTTGTTTTTATAGGAATGTGATCACCTTATTGTAGAACTGTAACCAGCCTTTGTATAGCTTATTTACTGCTTGATAAGAATATCTATATACTGCATATTTGAATGCCTATTCAAATATTTTTGCAACATTTTTTAAACCCACCGCAGTGGAGAGTGGCAATTCTGTTCTAAGCTCAGGAGCAGTGCAGCATCATTGTCACACTGTCACAGGAAGCTGCATTTGGCAAACTTCACTGGTAGGATAAGCTTTGCATGGTGACCAAGGGCTCGTTCACACTTGGCTGTTTTACCAACGCTTGCCAAACGCCCCTATAGCGTTTGGCAAGCGTTGGTCCGGCGTTTGCGGAGCGTTTTTTTAACGCTTGGCAAACGCCAGATGTGCGGTTTAGCAGCGGTTGCTAGGCGTTCGCCAAGTGTTAAAAACGCCCCACAAATGCCTATAATGCAGTTTGAATGGTGTTACTGCTCTGCAAATGCCCGGCGTTTGCAGAGCGGCACCATAGACTAGAATAGGAGGCTTCAACGCCTCCTGACTCGACCAGAGGCGTCCGTTTTGCCGCAACGCAACGCAAATGCTCCCGTTAAAACAGCACCATGCTGTACTGTGCAGAATTGGCAGAGGCGTTTGGGAAGCGGTAAAAAACGCTTCCCAAACGCCTCTCTGCTGCCTGCACACCAGGCTAGTGTGAACGTAGCCCAAGGTGCATATGCTAATGAAATTCCACTCTTAATTTTTATTATTGTAAGAACGTTTGTTGGATGTTTTAATTGTTAGTGGCGTGAAACTGACTTTCATTTTCCACAGCAGTGATGAGAAAATTTGAAGGAAGACGATAGAAAAATCTTTCGTGAACAAATTAATTTCTAACAGTATACTTAGTTTCTGTTCAGAAAAAGTCCATTCATTCCACAATCAAATATTAGAAGCAAAAAAAGTTGGAGTGCTTTTGATTGACATTGTCAAGTCATCAGATGTACTGATAATTTTCGTATGAATTTCTGCAGGGATTTATGCTTGAAAATCTTCTAGTGTATAGCCAGCTTAGGAGAATACTGTAATTGCAGATACACTTAACTGCTGTAGCACATATTATATATATATACAGTTGCAAGAAAAAGTATGTGAACCCCTTGGGATTACATGGAGTTTTGCATGAATTGGGCATAAAATGTGCTCTGAACGTCATCTAAGTCACAACAATAGAAGAACACAGTCTGCTGAACATAACACTACACAAACATTAGATGTTGCCATGGTTTAGTTGCACAGAACATGTAAACATTCACAGTGCAGGGAGGAAAAAGTATGTGAGGCCCTAGCTTAATGACTTCTCCCAGAGCTAATTGGAGCCAGGAGTGAGCCAACCTTGACTCCAATCAGTGTGATGATATTGGATGTGTTCCCGACAGCTGTCCTGCCCTTACAAAACACACACCTGTTTTGGGTTTACTAGTTTCAAGAAGCACTGTCTGATGTGAACCATGCCTCGCAGAAAAGAGCTCTCAGAAGACCTACGATCAAGAATTGTTGACTTGCATGAAGCTGGAAAGGGTTACAAAAGTATCTCCAAAAGCCTTGATGTTCATGTGTCCTCGTAAAGACAGACTGTCTACAAATGGAGAAATTTCAGCACTGTTGCTACTCTCCCGAGGTGTGGTCGTCCTGTAAAAATGACTGCAAGAGCACAGCGCAGAATGCTGCATGAGGTAAAGAAGAATCCCAGAGTGTCCGCTAAAGACCTACAGAAATCCTGGCACATGCTAACATTTTTGTTGACACATCTACAATAAGGAAAACATTAAACAAGAATGGAGTACATGGGAGGACAACACGAAGGAAGCCATCGCTGTCCAAAAAGAATATTGCAGCACATTTGAAGTTTGCAAAAGAGCACCTGGATGTTCCACAGCACTACTGGCAAAATATACTGTGGACAGATGAAACCAAGATTGAGTTGTTTGGGAAGAACACACAACTCTATGTGTGGAGAAAAAAAGTCACAGCACACCAACATCAAAACCTCATCCCCACTGTAAAACATGGTGGAGGGAGCATCATGGTTTGGGGCTGCTTTGCTGCCTCAGGGCCTGGACGGATTGTTGTCATTGATGGGAAAATGAATTCCAGAGTTTATCAAGACATTTTGCAGGAAAACTTACGACCATCTGTCCGCCAACTGAAGCTCCGCAGAGGATGGGTGATGCAACAGGACAATGACCCAAAGCATACAAGTAATTCAACAAAACAATGGCTGCAACAGCACAGAATACGCCTTCTGGAGTGGCCCAGTCAGAGTCCTGACCTCAACCCGATTGAAATGCTGTGGCATGACCTTAAGAGAGCGATTCACACCAGACATCCCAAGAATATTGCTACACTGAAACAGTTTTGTGAAAAGGAGTGGTCCAAAATTACTCCAGATCGTTGTGCAGGTCTGATCTGCAACTACAGGAAATGTTTGGTTGAGGTTATTGCTGCCAAAGGAGGATCAACCAGTTATTAAGTCCAAAGGTTCACATACTTTTTCCTCCCTGCACTGTGAATGTTTACATGTTATGTGCAATTAAACCATGGCAACATCTAATGTTTGTGTAGTATTATGTTCAGCAGACTGTGTTCTTCTATTGTTGTGACTTAGATGACGTTCAGAGCACATTTTATGCGCAATTCATGCAAAACTCCACGTAATCCCAAGGGGTTCACATACTTTTTTCTTGCAACTGTATATATATATATAATTTTTTTTTTTTTTTTTTTTTATTGGGATGTTATAGTTCTACTTGAATTAAACTGTGAGCTGACTTTACAGTTTATACTTAATTGAACTGCAAATGTGCAGTAATGGAAAACCAGGCAAGAGAAATGACAAGGAAGTGAGGAAAAGTTTCCGGATTGTGTCTCCAAGTTTTCAGCATATTATAAAATAGCCCTTTGTTAGTCCACAGTACAATGCACTGCTCCAGGTTTGTTCATAGTTTCTGACTGAGGAGTACTAATAGAAGCATATGAATAACTGCACACCACTCTCTGTAAAAAGCCAACAACTTCTTTATTGTACAATTCAACATCACAGCAATATGAGAGAAAAGAGCCCACTAAAAGTTCAGGCACACAAACTAAGCGCCTTTGTGCTTGAAACTCATTAGAAGGACCTTTTATCTCATTGCTGTGATATTGTCTCAATTTGTAAAATAAAGAAGAAGTTGGCTTTTTAATGACAGCAGTGTGCAGTCATCCATTTGCTTCTATTAGTATCTTTGTTAATGCTGGTGGTGCTGTCTTAAACATCTTTAGCTGGGACATGGATACAAATAGATGTCCTGAAGTTGTTGTAAGACTGTCCTTGAAATACAACCTTCTTGCATTGTACCACTTTGAAGGGCTAAAGTGCACCTGTAATCTTCTAAAACATTTCAAAAGTGATCTCTATCAGAACCACTCACTAAAACAATCTTATCACACCTTTGGGTTTTAAATTGTAGCTCTTGACTTTTATTTACTAGCATTTGATGTAAACATAACAGTTGATTTAGCCAGTGTTTCTAAGAACATTTTTTTTCCCCCCACAGACCGTCAAGCACATGTGGCCCTATATCTGCCAGTTCATAGACAAGCTGTTCAGAGAGACCATAGAGCCTGCAGTTAGAGGTGCAAATGCCCATCTGAGTACCTTTAGCTTTACTAAAATTGATATGGGCTCTCAGGTAAGTGGCTTGGTGAAGATGTATTCTGTTACTTCTGTACAAATGACATCTATCGTTGCTACTTCTAATATATATGGGACCTACAACTTTGTGCAATTTAAAAATCATATTTTTTTTGGCTGGAAAAGTAAACTGCCCATCTGCTTCTTATTAAACTAAAAGCACAAAGTTCTTCTAGTATTGCTATTTAAAGTGCTTTGTTTCCCTTCTGTGGTTCCCTTCTGTAACTGGAGATATGCAGTGTTCACTGGTGCAGTGATGAGGCCTGGGGTGGCAGACGTTACATTCACTACACTATATACCTTGGTATTGTCAACACGCAGTCTCCCATATCATTAACTCAGAGGACAAAAACTTTCATTGAAATATATTCCCTACATGTCAGTGTGTGTGTGTGTGTGTGTGTGTGTGTGTGTGTGTCTTTTTTGTGTTTTTTTTTTCTTTTTTTTTTTTTTTTTTTTTGTTCTTGGAACTTTGCAATATCTGCTGTCACATGGATCATACAGTGAAACCTTACATGTGTCTCTTGTATAACTTTGTTGGAATGTTAAGTTGGCCATACACATATATTTTTTTTAGCATGGATGCTGAACGATAATCTAACCTATTCCTCCAACCATACTAAACTGTGTGGTTGGACAAACCTGCAGCTATTGTATTCTGACAGCAAAATACAAAGGCAATGCCTGCATCTGATCTGATTGGGCACTGCTCAGCTGATAGTCTTTCGCCCGGCTCCTTTGATTTCTTTTTTTTTTTCAAATGAGCTACAGCATCATCACTGTTTTGCAGTGCCTTTGCATAGGCCAGAGCTGTGGTGGGGAGGGACCCAGCAGTCATTTCCACTACAGGCTGCCTGTAGATAACTTTGTGGGGATACAAGTCCAATCACCCTCCAAAATGAGCTTGCGGCACTGTCCAGTCTTTGACAGGAAATTCTTGGACGGAGACAAATGCAGGCGATTTCATGCTGGATTACTGCATAGATCTGGAAGGAATATATAACAGACCCCAAGACTGAAGTTGAAATACGCATCGTTCTTGTAGCTGGACAATTTATTTTTGCTATACCTGTATTTCAGTTTTAAAGGAGGATTCCTGACAATGGTGATTATACTCTACATACCCCATTTGAGCACTTGAAATAAAAAAATCACATATTTTTCACCACTGTGTACTTCCTCCTGCACAGTCTAAAAAGAAATGCCAACTTTTCTTTTTGATGACATCACATTTTGACTGACCTGCTATTATTCTTGGCTTGACTTTTGGAAGACCACATTGAATTAAAATTAACTTTTTTCCAATAGCAATAAGGAAACTGCTACTGTGTACTTGTTTTGGAAAGATCTCTATCTAGGGCTTCAAATCATAACATTGCTTTATCACTTATTAACCTCTTCACGCCGGCCGCACACAAATGTGTGGCCTCCCGGCATCTGGGCCTAGATGCCGAGCGGCCGCACATTTGCGTTCTAATAAAAAAAAAAAAAAAAAACGTGCTGAGAGTGCGTGCTCCCAGCACACATGTCCGGTACTCATGGAAAGGTCCCGGTCTCCTTTCGATCGGGACTTCTCCCGATCCTGTGACCGCCTTGACGACGCATCACGGCGGTCACATGATCCCTAAACCCCGCCCGTCCCGGCTTCTGAAACTCTTAAAGGGCCGGGAGGCGCCGGCGTGAAGGGCTTAAGTCACTTACTTGGAACAAGTATGTCAGCTGACTGATTGCTTATTTTGGGTCAAAAACTCCCATTAATGCACGCCATACATGGGTTGAATTCCGAACGAATTTCTTTTGAAAATCAGAAATTTTGTACATTTTGTAATCCGATGGTGCCACCATTGATTTAGAAATTTGACCAACTAAGCCTTGAATTTCACCTCATGATGGTATAGAAAAGAATTTTCAGGGCTGGGAATCTTCTTTTCTTTCCAGGTCACAACATGCTCATTTTTCTTTCGATTTATATTTCTTGCATGATTCTCCCATAATTGATTAGAAATTCCTTAGTTTTTAAAAAAATTTCCAACATGTCCGATCACTTACATTAGATAGCCATACGAAAATCAGCCATTGCTGTGTACCACTAATGGTGGGAAATTCAAATGAAAATTCTTAGTTACTATTTTCGAGAGAAAATTCCTTTTGGAATTTAACCTATGTATGGCCGGCTTAAGTGTCCTTTTCAGAGAATGGTTTTCCTGTGCTTAGCAGTTTATGGGCCAATATACAAGTCCTCCTCTACAGCTGGAACTCTCCATGTACACCTCTAGTTGTTCGGATGGACTCACTTGTCCTTTATGGTCTCTGCAGTAACATAGAAAATCTTACTGTTAAGCAGTGTGTTGAGAAAGTGTGACATCCTAATGTAATTTCATATTTTGAAGAATCTCAGTTTACCTCTCTGTATAGCAGATCTCTTATGTATTTGGCACAAAAGTTACTTAGCAATGGAAAGATGCAAACATGTGCAGTTTTTGGTCTGATGAACTGCATTACAGCACTGACCTGTGGGTTAAATGTGTTTCTATACTCCAATAAATGTGGTGGAATAGACCAGTGTTTCTCAACCTTTTTTCAAGGCAAGGCACCCTTTAAAATTATGGACAGTCCCGAGGCACCCATTAAAATCATGGACAGTCTTGAGGCAACTCATTCTAAACTGGGGTGCCTCAAGACTCTCAGTAATTTTGTTTAAAATTTTATATAAGGCAGCAACATCCACACATGTATGACATCCAACGTTAGAGGTGATTTATTTTTCCAAAGCAAATACAATTTTGCACACTGGTACCGACTAGTATTCCAGTGTTTCTTTTCTCCCTCAGTTTTTCTCCATCACTGAGCTAATGTGACCCCTGCATTGATGGAGAGGGGCAGGGGAGGGTCAAACTAGGATGCTGTGCAGGCAACTGACATCCTCCTTATCATCTAATGATGTTATTGGTTGTCAGGATGCCGGTGACTAGAAGGTGCAAAATGAAAACCTGTGACTTTGTATAACTAAAAGGCAGGCTTGTTCCACCCGCTGGCTTGTATACAAGTTTTTTGGGCAATTTTTAGACATTTTGCCAAGGCACCCCTGAAGAAACCTCAAGGCACCCCAGGGTGCCTGGGCACCCTGGTTGAGAGAGGCTGGCATAGACCATTGTCCATGCATTGATTCATGTTAGAATCTCGCTCATGTTACCCTTCTAAAATAACTGCAACAAAATCTGATGAAACCTTAAGCCCTGGTTCACACTGATGCGGTGCTGCAGATCACATGTGATTAACATAGGAACAGAACCGCATTCCTGCGCAAATCACATGCGATGTCTGTGTGATTTGAGCATCGCATCCACACCAAAAAGATTCAGGACCCTTTTTTTTCCCTCACCTGATTCGCATCGCATGGGTGTTCACACCCATACGATGCAAATTCTGGTAATCGCACTGCGTTTTGCAATCTTTTTCGGGGTGTCAATTTAACATTGACACCCGTACTAGATCTCATGGATGCCGTGCGATTGCAATGCGGTGCAGGAAATGCACAGGATTCGCTGCGTTTCCCGCACTACATTAGTGTGAACCAGGGCTAAATGTATATTCTAGACAACTATGATTTATGTGAAAAATTTAATCTAAACTTTCTCCTTTTTCCTCCCTCTGATTTTCTCACAGCCATTAAGAGTGAATGGGGTTAAAGTGTATACAGAAAATGTAGACAAGAGACAGATCATCTTGGATCTTAAGATAAGGTAAACATTCCTAAAATCTGAATATTTCTCTGATTTGTCTAGATTATGATCTTGAAATATCAGTCACTTTGAATTGGCTTTTCTTAGTTGTGGTGATTTGATTGTGCGGCTGTTGAAGTCAGAACTGAAATGATGGCTAGCCATTAAACATCGTTATACAGTAGTGTCTACACAGATGTAATAGTTTTGTAATTCCTTCTTTTTCTTTAGGGCAGCTTTTATGGACACGTTCTGTCTGCATTACCTAATGTGATAATGGAAGAAAATGGCATACAGGAAATAATGCATAATTTCTGACTTTGTTAAAACATGTCACTTGACCATCTTATATATTAGATAAAACGTCACAATAGTCGTCTTCTGTTGAATTAAATATAGGAGCTTGTCAGCTTTACTGTTTGTAATTTTCACATCTTTGATGATTATTTTTACAGCTAGTTTATCTAAAGCACAGACAACAAAACAACATACAACAGTATTTCCATTCAGTACATATTTGAAAGATATCTTGTGTTTTTATGACCTTTAAAGTGGTTCCCCAGTCTTTCCCCAAAAAATTTAAAAGGCAGCAGCTACAAAGACTGTAGCTGCTGACTTTTAATATAAGCACATTTGCTTGTCCAGGGATCCTGCAACGTCCCCATGGCTCTTCAACCTGTTTCGAGGCCAGGAGTCGGCATCTTAACTAAGGAAAACCAGCTGTGAAGCCTTGCGGCTTCACATCTGGTTTTCCACTGTGCATGCATGAGCCACGCTGCGCTTTGTGAGTGGTCTTGCAATCTTCTGGGACCTATCATATGTCCCAGAAGGCTGTGGGCCAAGAATTGGCCAAAAAGTGCAGATTCTTAAATTGGAAAGGGGTGGGGGGGGGGGGGGGGGGGGAATGTAAACAAACGGAACTTCCCATTTTGGGTGAAGTTCTGCTTTAATAATCTGCCATAATTGGGACATCAGCACCTGCAATGTGTGTTTACTAACAAAGACACCTTCTTTTCCTTCAGTTTATAACATTGTGACCCAGTGCTCCTGTCACCACTGGCAAGAGCTATTGCACTAAACTACAAAACTGTTCATAGTCAGTTAGAAGTTCGTGTAGCATTTCTGTTGGACTGAAGGGCCCACAAGGCACCACATCCCTTTTATAGAATATACACTGTAAAATTACCAAACTTCAGATTGGATCTTTCAGGTGGCTTTTTATTGCATAAAAAAAAAATATATATAAAACCATCTAATAGTCAGAAATATTTGGCTCAGTACAGCATGACATACAGCATAAAGTTTATCATTCCTAGGTGATACCCCTGTAGCCACCCTAAGTGCCTGCTTAGTCTCAGATAACTGTATCTCAAACATTTATAACAAACACCCTTGACAAAGGTAGCATGTGGTATATCTTTTAGAAAGAGCGGATTCATGCAGAAGACAGAAGTGACTTAACGCTACACTTTTCTCAGATCTAATGATCAGCTTTTTCAGGAGGTCATGTATCAAGAGACTGAGCATGCATCCAATAATGCTATGAGCCAACAGGGCAAATGTCCTTTAAGTGAAAGACTGCAGGAAAGATGTGTGGCTTGAGAGGCCCCAGTAGGTGGCACTATTCCAGTCATCTGCTGTATACTCAATAGGTTAATATCTTACAAGAGGGCAATCCAGGGGGGTCATCATACCATTCAAAAAGGTGAGCCAATATCTGCTAATGTCATCCTCCAGTCTACTTAAGAAGTGCATTTAAAAACTCCCATTTGTATCTAGGCCATCCTTTACCATTTGTATCTAGGCCATCCTTTACCATTTGTATCTAGGCCACCCTTTACCGATAGATACAGAGTTCTCAGAAGCGCAGTAAGCACAGTTTGGGTTTGATATAATAAAGTAATAGATGCTCTTTACTAGGCAAAATAAACATTCACTGAGTAAATAAGATGACGTTCCTTTCACTTCAACTACGTGCTAGCAAATATGCGGATTTATTTCCCTAGCACGATTAGGTATTCAAAGTAAACACAGCTTAATTTTATATACATTCGCTTTGTTAAGCAACAGGCTCTTCTCCTTTGTGTCCGAGCTTTAAAGCTGAACTCCAGGCAAAGTACCAAAATCTATTTTGTATTTTTACTTACAGCTGGTAAATGTACTGAATGTGTTAAAGCAGTGTTAAAACTCCCAGCAAAAAAATTAAAAAAATGGACTCCCCTGCAGTGTTATGCCATAATGTGCTAGTATGCACTGCATACTAGCACATTATGACAAACTTATCTGTCAAATGGAGCCCTCCAGCTCTGCGCTGTCATTGCTCCCACTGGCCCTGGGCACTTCTATCTTCTCTGTCTTCCTTCTGGGTTCGATCTCTTCAGCCACTTTGATGTCATGTGCACGGGAGTCACATGACTATGGCACATATTGGGTGCCGTAAATGTGGTCTGATCTGCACAAGTACGGCTCCAATCACATTACTGTTGACAGGCAGAGGGAGGCATTTATGACAGAAGGGACCACTAGGGCTTCTACTATAAAACCCTACCAGTCAACGTTTTTCCATATTTGAGTTCAGTACCACTTTAATGGTAAATTCTAATAATATTGAGTTAATTTTCTTTCTTTTTTTTTTTAACAAACATATACATGTATTACAGTGTTATTTTTGAGCACTATAAATAACCTGAAGAAACAGCACTGAAAAGGCTAATTGCTTATTGTCACAATTTGTCTGATTTGAAACATTCATTTTAGCCATCTTAGTTTAGTGTTCATGGGTCATTAAGCTGTGTTTAAAAAAAAAAAAAAATTTGAAATGAACATTTTTCAAACAAGAATTCCAGGTATGGGTGTTTTTATGCATAGTTACATTGATCCAGCTTGTATCAATATAATGTATGCATATACCATACATGTATTTTTTGAATGGGACCTGTGCCCAGTGCCCATCTTCCTGTGTTCAGAATTCAGAAGGCCAGTTGCCCAGCACAGGACCCAGAAGCAACTGGACATCACTGGAGTAGGGGGTGCCTAAATCAGTTATTTCCAGCTACCAGGAGCATCGGCCAGGTATGGAATATGCATAGTTTCATTGGTCCAAGCTGGACTAATGTAACAATGTACAAAATACCCATACCTGGAATTCATCTGTAAAAGAAATTATATTTTTAGTCCTGACCTTAATAAAAATTAAGTATGAGCTAACTGTTTGGCCAGTGACATTGTCCAGATGTAGCAATGTGGCCATATTAGGTCAATGATGCCCCTTTTATTACATGTAGCTGTAGCGTGGGGAATTCCACAGCTGCAGCTAGTTGGGATGGTGGCCTGTTGTCACTTGACAGATTCCTGCTCGTGCAGGCTGAACTTGGATTGACCTGAACCTTGTCTCATTCCTCAAAGTGGATGTGCACTGTGTCTGAGTACCACAAACCAAAAATGCTGTATAATTCATTGTTAATATTCAAAGCAAACTCGCCCATCCATCTATGTCTCCATGCTTTGTTTTGCTTAGAATTCATTTTGAAAAACACTCCCTGGTATTTTTGCCACTGGCCATCTTGAGTAAGGGCAGATGATTCATGTAACATTTACTTCCTGAAGTCCATCTTCCCTTGGCTCAAGCATTGGCTGAGCTGAGAACCCTCCCTCTCGTCCTAAAGACTCCTGGGATTTATGACCTGATTTGCCTAGGCAAGGGAAACTAGACAGTAACTGAAGAAATGTAAAAAAAAGTAGTTTAAAACAAGTAAATATGATATACTTTCCTATCTATTTACTGACACTATAAACATGGACAATTTTTAATCCTTATGCTGCTTAAGAAAGTGACGTTCCGCTTTAAAGAGACACTGGACTTAATATATTAGGCTACTGAGGGTGTATGTGTCAGCTCTTCCCATGTCTGACCTTAGCACAGCTTTTTATATTCTGTAAGTGATGTTGGTAATATAAATTCAGCATGTAAGTTCAAAGGAGAACATATTTAATACTGAAGCAGATCAGCATCTTGTTATTTACATGTATAACCATAATTACAAGGAGTAATACAACTGGAATCACTACAGAAAATAAAATGTTTTAGCTTTTTTTTTTTTTTTTTTTTTTTTTTTTTTTTTTCTAGCAGGAGTAAAATGTATACCAACATTCAGTGACCATTCAGTGTAGCAGCTAATTGATGTTGCATGTGAGTAATTAAGTTACGCTAAAATCAGCTGAGCTAGTATGAATCTGTTCTTTGTTTCTCAGTTTTGTAGGAAACACGGAGATTGATTTGGAAATAAAGAGATATTTCTGCCGAGCTGGAGTAAAGAGTATCCAGGTAAATATTCAGCTGGAGCCGTGCAGAATTCATTGAGCTGATATTTTATAGAGTTACATATACAAAAAACCTTTTTGGTGATGCAATAAATCCCACATTAAATTCAAAATCCTAAATATACCAAATGATCTAATATAATATAAATACACCAACTCAAAATAGTCCAATGTGAACTCCAAAATTATGCCCAAAAATTGTCCAAAAATTGTCCAAAATAAATCCAATATAGTGTCCTAATTTCAATCTTTTTCCTCCAATCTGTGAAAATTATTCCTCCAAACACGTACCTCGAGAAATAAAAATAAACAATCTAGTGCAATTCAATTAATTAGAAAAAATCACCCCGTGAAACTCCACACTTCACTGCAAAAGTATATCTATTTGTGAAAAAAAATAAAAATAAAAATAAATAAATTCAATTATACCAATCTTATTTTATAATAGTGCAAAAACCACATCAATCAAAAGTGTGCGCACTCTGTGATCACTGCTGCACAGTGAATTCCTTCAACCACCACACAATAGTACAAAATACTATTACCCTCTATGTATGTAATTAAGGCTCTACCAACATTATGGATCAGTAATCTTCCAAAAATCTTCTTTTGGGATATTTCCAGGTCCTCAGAGAAATAAATGGTCTTAGGAGCAATATTCAAAACATAGGGATAACATTTATTAGTAACTCACACTTAAGAATTGGATTATCAGCTCCAGCTATGGTTTCTGTCCGCTTAAACAAACATTTCCTCCACCATGTGTATTGACAACCTAAAAAATGGCCGCGGCGACACTTCCGGTCTGCATACGTGCGTCCTGACGTCACTCCTTTAACGCGTTTCGTCACTTCCGGACTTCAGATCCTTTCAGATGAAGTCCGGAAGTGACGAAACGCGTTAAAGGAGTGACGTCAGGACGCACGTATGCAGACCGGAAGTGTCGCCGCGGCCATTTTTTAGGTTGTCAATACACATGGTGGAGGAAATGTTTGTTTAAGCGGACAGAAACCATAGCTGGAGCTGATAATCCAATTCTTAAGTGTGAGTTACTAATAAATGTTATCCCTATGTTTTGAATATTGCTCCTAAGACCATTTATTTCTCTGAGGACCTGGAAATATCCCAAAAGAAGATTTTTGGAAGATTACTGATCCATAATGTTGGTAGAGCCTTAATTACATACATAGAGGGTAATAGTATTTTGTACTATTGTGTGGTGGTTGAAGGAATTCACTGTGCAGCAGTGATCACAGAGTGCGCACACTTTTGATTGATGTGGTTTTTGCACTATTATAAAAATAAGATTGGTATAATTGAGTTTATTTATTTATTTATTTATTTATTTTTTCCACAAATAGATATACTTTTGCAGTGAAGTGTGGAGTTTCACGGGGTGATTTTTTCTAATTAATTGAATTGCACTAGATTGTTTATTTTTATTTCTCGAGGTACGTGTTTGGAGGAATAATTTTCACAGATTGGAGGAAAAAGATTGAAATTAGGACACTATATTGGATTTATTTTGGACAATTTTTGGACAATTTTTGGGCATAATTTTGGAGTTCACATTGGACTATTTTGAGTTGGTGTATTTATATTATATTAGATCATTTGGTATATTTAGGATTTTGAATTTAATGTGGGATTTATTGCATCACCAAAAAGGTTTTTTGTATATATTTAACACTTTCTAGGGTGGAAAGTATTGACTTTTTGAGGGTATAAGGAGGTCATATATGTAATTAGTTATATTTTATAGAGTTGCAGGGTGAAGACATGTTTAATTGAGATAGCTTGGAGGATGAAGTCATCCAAAGCTTATATTTCAATTAGTTTGGACACCAGAAGACTTAAGTACCCATTGGAGTCACTCTCTCTGCCCCCCCACGTGACATCCTATTTTTCCTGCCTCTAATTAGTAAACAAATCATCCTTTGAAACTTCCTCATCTTTTGTATTCATGTGTATCTTAATGTAGGCCTACATTGCTCTGGACCGAACTATTGCCTGGTATACAGGGGCCGAAAATTGGAACTGGCCCACTTTTGGTATGCGTGTACTGCTGTCTGTTCAGCAGAAGTCGGAATAATGACCATCTTCTGTCAAACGGTCCTGCTGAAAATCTATCCATATAATTATTCCAAAGAATAATCTGCATGTAAACTCGACGTGTTTCGCATTATTTTATTCAAAATTACATGTGAAAAAAATCCGTATGATGGAACCCAGTTGCTATTTGTTACAGAGCACAATATCGACTGGAATAAACATCAAGCAGGGTATTTTCATCCCCTCTGGAGCAGCAACGATACCAAATGGGTAGAAGGCTGCTATTTTCAAATTTTTGCCTTATTCAAACAAAGTATTTCTAACAAACGTATGTCTCAAATACAATGTCCCCCCAAAAAAAAAAAAAACTGCAGAAATTGGCAGCATACAGATAAATGTTCATCACCAAACATTTAACATCAAGAATCACTACTGTGATGCCTCCTGACCTAGATGATTATGATGTGGCAATATAGATTACAACTGGTACCTTAATTCACTTAATGGATGATTAGGAAACCTGCTATTGCTGTTCAGGCATATCCATAATCCCCTCATAGTTTTCCTTTCTGTTTGGTGATAAACATTTACTTGCCCGCTACCAATTTCTGCGGGGGGTTTAGGACGTATTTGAGACCTGCCTTTGTTTTAGATACCTAGTTTGAATAATGCACAATTTTGAAATTGGCAGCCTTCTACCTGTGGTGTCCATGCTGCTCTAGAGAATTCACTTGATGTTTATTCCAGCCAATATTGTACTGTGTGACTCCAAATAACTGTAATGTACTCCTGAGGAAGATCATTCGGAATGCGTTGAGTTTACATGTGGATTTTTCTTTGGCATTATTACATGTTTGTGAAGCTAAAGGCAGACATATTTTTAATGACTTTTGCTTTTGTAGAGTCTTAATTTGAATGTTAAGCAAATAAAATTTCTGCTTTTTATATCAGTGTTTTTGCTTTTTTCTATATGTCTCTCAAAAAGTCCATGGCTACTTATCAGTTTTCTGTGTACCCTTTTATGACCCTTTGCTTCGGCATTTCTTGCTTTTTTTTTGCTTTTTTTTTTGTGATGACCTGAGATTTTTTCTTCCACAACATTTTTACATATGATACTAATACTATTCATATGTATTACGGCCTAGCTGGTAGAACTGGGAGGATTTGTAATTCATGTAAGAAGAATAGAACTTGACTTGGCTTGTGACTTTTAGTACGGATTACAGGAGCTAAGCCCAGGAGGTGTTGTCAGTAGGCTATGTTGAACCCTAAGGATAGTGTCTTGCAGCGCACATGGGTACTTGTAATTAACTCTCACATGCCATCAGCCTCCTGGCATTCACCAGGTATTGGGAGAAACAAGCCATGAGATTATAGAAAAAGCTACCAATGTAAAAAAAAAAAAAGCACTTGTAGAGTTTAACTTTATTTTTTTTTTTAATTTTTTTAATAAACTGTAGTAAAATCTTTTACTATTGCAACTGAGCAGCCTTTTCATAGTATATAGCACTGCTTTTTGTATGGACATGTTCAAGCCAGGAAGGACAAATAGTTCTCCGTAATGTTATTTGTTCATTTTTCAGCTTCATGGTACAGTGAGAGTCATTCTGGAGCCGTTGATTGGAGACATCCCAATAATCGGAGCATTGTCCATATTTTTTTCTGAAGAAACCGGTGAGTCAGAAGAGGAATGCATACCTTACCATCCTGCTATTCTCTCCTGTTCCAGAACGACTCCTCCAGACAGGGGATCGCATATCACCGCACCTCCTCCTAGTGGTAGCTGACCTGCACTCTTATATTCTGCACTTAGAGATGCTAATGTCTTCACATATTATTATACAGTTTTTATACATATAAGTATAGGTAGGTAAGCACTGCCTTAATATACCATCAAAAACATAATTGACAAAATAGGTGAATCTACACAACACCATAAGTAGTCCAAAGAGCTTGTGCAAACAGTGCTGTCTCTTAATCTGTGTCCGTGCTATATTCTTCTTAATAAAGTGCCAGTTCACATACTGTGCTCCCCACCAGTGATCCCCCTCACTTACCGACTTCAATGGACTTTTAAGGCTAAGTAAGAGTCTATTGTGCTCAATTGTAAGACTCTGGTTCTGCTGGAACTTGTAGTCCTTCACCGTATGGATGGTTTTTCACATAGCAGGATAATTCAGCTCAGCACTCACCGGTATGGATACTAATATATACTGAAAGTGCCTGAAAGAAAAGAGCTGCTTGTTAGGTAGCAGGAGCCCAGCCCTGACAGTAACTGGTTTAAGAACCAGTCCAGTTGAATGACTACTAGATATACCATGACCTGGAGAAATGTGAACCTTCACAGACATACTGTTGGTGTTTATTTCCCTATGCTTTATATGAGTATCCATACCCTGTGAGCGCAGAGCTGGATTATCCTGTTACATGAAGAATACATCCATAGGGAGGACAACTACAAGTTTGAGCAGAACCAGAGTCTTCTAACTGAGCACAATAGATTCTTTAGTTTTATGAATCCATTGAAGTCGGTGAGTGAGTGAGACTCTGGTGGGGAGCACAGCATGTGAATTGGCACTTTAATAAGAAGAATATAGCATGAGCACAGATTAAGAGACTACACTGTTTGTACAAGCTCTTTGGACTTTTTATGGTATTATTGTATCGATTCCCCTATGTTGCCAGTTATGATTTTTGATGGTATAAGGCAGTGCTTACCTACTTTTACTTCAGTGATTTGAGGGACAGTACCCTATGTAGTAGCAGCAGTCACTATTTGTTTCATATATGTGGAATTGTTGTTTTTTTTTTTTTTGGTGTATAGGCACAGGTAAATTGTTTTATTTAAACACACCAGTCACTTGTCCTGAGTGCAGGATATAAGCCGTTTAAAATGTCTTCACTTGACTGCAGTGCCGAAAACAGAAATTCACATGATTTTACTGCAGGAAATAAGCAGAGGAATTTAACAATTACAGCTATTTTAATTCTCTGAATATCAGTACGATGCTGTGTTTTCTCTTACCTGGTAACACGTACTGTATGTTTGCTTAGCTTTCATAATTGCATTTCAACAAAGAGAGAACAAATATTTCTCTCCGATTGATGTTACTACTGTTCTTTGGCCAAAACTGAAATGTACATTTGCTGACAGAATAGCGTTTACATTTCTTTGCCGTTGGGCTGATGTAAGAACAATTTGCTGCCAACAGCAACCAGTTAACACCCGACTGTCATTTCTGCAGTGCAGGTTTTAAAGAAACAAGAAACAAACATATTTCCTATGGAAAACTTTTCATATATCAGACCTCTATATAGATTTTGAGTCTTTGACATGCGTGAGTGTGGACTGATTTATGTTTAATAGTGCCTAAAGGTATTTTCCAATCAAAAATGAAAATCAGGTCTTTCCCCATGATTTTGTCCCCATCATCAATGTAGTGCAGCAGTTCTTCTGTTAGCTCTGATGATCTGGGAACCCTTTTTGCTTACATATTTGTAATACAGGAGGAGTGTTCCTAAATTCACCTATCAGTCTTTGTGCTAGCGCTCAACGAAATCCTAACCTAACAAAGTTCCGGTAATAAGAATGTTCTCATAACCATTAGTCACAATGAGAAATGCCATTGAAGTCTGAAGTGGATTGCTCATCAAACAAGCAGAGAGATTGAAAGGTAATTACCCAGTACAGGATTAAGTCCCATACCTACCATGCATTTGTATTGTCCAGACACAGAGCTGTGTCAGCAGTATTCACCTCTGCAGTGCTTTCTGCTACAAACATTTAAAGGAAACTTCACTTCAAATTAAGATGTCCTTTATGACTACCCCCCTGCATGTTTGCTTTAAATTTCTTTAGCAGGCTATATAACATTGGAAAATTTCCCCTCTATCCCTGTTCTTGCAACAATGCAAAATATTGATTTTCTTTCACTTTCACTCTCGGTGATAATGGTACACAGGACATATAGGGAGGATGAAGCTCCCTAACAGGGCACAGACGGCATTAAAAACCCAGTAGGTGTTCTAGTCCCTCTCCGCTCTATTCAAAGCAAAAGAAAAATGTTTGTCTTTAGTTATACTTTAAAGCATATTGTAGCTTACCAGTCCTTTAAAGAAGAACTCTGGGTAAAAATCTTATCTTCCCATGCAGTGGAGCTATGCCTGCACTGCATGGGTTAACTGCTCGTTTTTGTCTAGGGGATTGCAGAGATACTTGCCTAATCTTGCATATCCCCACTGCATGGGAGTAAAAAAGATTCATGGAGTTGTTTTTTAACCACTTGCCCTCCAGAGGATTTACCTCCCTTCCTGACCAGGCCATTTTTTGTAATTCGGCACTGCGTTACTTTAACGAACAATTGTGCTATCATGCAACGCTGTACATAAATTAAATTTATGTCTTTTTTTTTTTCCACTAATAGAGCCTTCTTTCAGTTGTATTTGATCGCCTCTGCGGTTTTTGTGCTATAAACAAAAAAAGAGTGACAATTGTGAAAAAAAAACAATATTTTTGATTTTTTGCTATAAAACATATCCAGTAAAAAACAATTTTAAATCAAATTTCATCATAAATTTAGGCCAAAATGTATTCTGCTACATCTCTTTGCTAAAAAAAAAAAAAAAAAAAAATCCTGATACAAGTGAATTATTTGGTTTACATGAAAACTATAACGTTTACAAATGGCGGTATATATACTGTAATTATAATATATATACTAGTAATGGCGACGATCAGCGACTTAGAGGGACGGCAGCGGGCATTCTGACACTGCGGGGGGGGAGGGGGGCACTGCCACTGATATCCCAACGACCTTAATACAGTGATCTGTGTTATTAAAAAGCACTGACACTGTACTAAGGACACTGGGCAGGAAGGGGTTAACATCTGGGGAGATCAAAGGGTTTATTGTGTGCTGTTTTACTCTGTGTGCTGTGTGTGTGTTTTAAGAGGGAAACATACTGCATGTTACTGCTGGCAGGAGAGCGACCTGTGTTTACACACTGGTCTCTCCCCTGTCACTGTTTGTCGGCAATCACTGGGTGCCGGGGGGGAATCTTCTTCCAGGACCCGGTGATCGATATCTGTAGCCGCCAATGGAAATGCAAAGTCACGTGTGTGTGTGTATGTATGTGTATATATATATATATATATATATATATGTGTATATATATATATGTAAATGTGTATGTGTATATATATATATGTAAATGTGTATGTGTATATATATATATGTATATGTGTATGTGTATATATATATGTAAATGTGTATGTGTATATATATATATATGTATATGTGTATGTGTATATATATATCACATATGTGCTTTTTTTTTTGTTCTGTTTTACATTTTGTTTCAGCCAATAACATACCTCTATCCCTGGCATAATAAAGCTCACTTGCCCTTCTGTATCCAGATAGCAGAAACAAGATAGGACCATAGAACCCACCCGCTCCTTTTTTTTTTTTTTTTTTTTCTTCAATTATTATATTTCATTTTAATAGAAATAGATATTTCAGTTACAATACAAACAGTGCATAAAGAGGTAACCTCTAAAACCACTGTATATGATATGAAGTGCCGTTTTGTTTTTTCACCTATTGTAAGTGCAATATCATATTAAATCTCCTTTGCCTTGGTGATTTTTCACTATTCAGAGTGTTTTGTTTTTTTGTTTTTTTTTTTTTTGTTTGTTTTCTTTTTCCTTCCATTATGTTACATAGCATACCAAACTGTGCAGACAGAGTGGTGTAGAGTTCTGGGGGACCTCTGAAATTGAGCTGATTGCCTTGGGAAGTGTAAAGAGCACAATTAGAAGACTCTCAATTGGGGGACATTTCACTCCGTTAAGCCTCCCTCTTGTTGCACTAAGGTGGTGTGCGTTTTGGCTGCATGGAAGTTTTAAAAGGGTTTGGGACTTGCATCTGTCCTCCATTCGCTGCAGACAGCGAAAACCACAGACTTTCTCTTCAGGCTCTATATCTGAGACTTTTATGCACAACACTTTTTTTCACATTTGTGTTTCTGATATATTTATATGAAGTCATGTTAATTATGGTATATATGTGCATAACCGCTGTTTTTTTTTTTGTGCATTTGGTACATACATCCACATAGAGCCATCATAATTGTGTTTTATGTATGTGTTTAAGTATGTTTGTCAAGTGCCTTAATGAATATTTGGGATTTTTATACGTACATTTTCACACACATACGTTTTTTTTTCACATATTTACTTTTAGACACATGCATTTATATGAGGTCGCTTTAATGATAACTCACTTGTGTTTAAATTTTTGATGGAATTCTTTTTGGTCTTTATTTGCGTTACACTAATATTTTTATTTATGCATTTATTTCACGGGCTGCACTGGTGTATTGAACAATACAAAAAGTGCATAAACAGATAACCAATTGCACAAAATATGAGTCAGAAGTGACAATAGTTTGTTATATAGACCATATGTTATTCAGTTAGTGACCGCAATCTTTGTAGAAAGGAATTCTAAAAAAACAGCAGAGAGATAGAGAAGGGTTAGAGGAGAAAACGAATTGAGAGGGTAAAAAAAATGGAATAGGCTCACAGTTCACATTCGTCAAGTTAATTGAGAGTGGTGGTCCTCAGTTCATCGGTGAAAATTCTGTGATAAATAATTGGAGATCCATGGTTC